TGTATACGTGATGTTTTACATTATTACTATTACAGTACTGCTATTTAACATATGGGGGAGAAATATGGGGAGTATGTACGAACAAAAACTGGGACAAGACATGAAACTGAAAAAGTCCGCTTCAGATTCTGTAGGCACTTTCTAAATGTGAATAACAGAACAAGCAACATTGCAGTAAAAATGGATACTGGTAGATTACCATTGTTACACTTACTATACTATAAGTCAATAACTATGTACAAACATTTAACTACATTGACGAAAAACAACATAGCTTTCAATGCTATGAAGGAAATGGAAATAAGGAAATGATTACTGGCTAACAAGACTCAACAAAATAGTGAATGAACATCAAATCCATATGGATATTACAAAACAAAACTTCAACAAAATGGCAGCAAAGTACTGCATTAACAAATGAAACAAAGACATACAAAGAACAGAATCTAAACTGAGGACTTACAGTTTATTCAAAAACGACATTAAACAGGAATATTATTTACAACAGGTAACTGATAAGCAAGCGGTTCACACAATGAGCAAATTCAGAATTAGCTGCCACCAACTGTACATAGAAGTGGGTAGACACACAAAACCAAAAACAAAAATTCAGGACAGGAAATGTGACAAATGTAACATGATTTAGGATGAAATCCATTTCATCACTGAGTGTGATCTCTATACAGAAAATAGACAAGATTTATATAGTCTATTCTCCAATCCAAATTTAAAAAATTACAACAAAGATAAATTTATACACATTTTAAACACAACTGACAAACAATGTCTACTCGGGTTATTAAAATACATACAGAAAGCCTACAAAATAAGAAAAGAAAATTAATTATTGTATTGTGTTATATTTTCAGTTTGAATTACATTGTAGTTGTTGTTTATTTTAAATCTATTATTGTATTTTATGTAATTTGATTGTAGTTTATTTTAAAAAGCTTTAATACAGCAATTACCAAAACTGAAATGTCAAGATTTCATTAAGGATGTAATGAAGCATTATTCTATTCTATTCTATTCTATTCTATTCTATTCTATTCTATTCTATTCTATTCTATTCTATTCTATTCTATTCTATTCTATTCTATTTTATTCTATTCTATTTTATTCTATTTTATTCTATTCTATTTTATTCTATTTTATTTCCTATCAGAAACAAAACAGTAAACATTTGTTTATAATACAAGTGACCTTGTCATCTGTAGAGCTCTGCTGTAATTGCAGAGGACAGTGGTAATCTACTAGGTGGATAGAAGAAGTAGAATCTATGACAGTGTTGTAATTGTGACAATGGTCACTGGAAGGGCATATCCCGTAAGAGGAAACGTATTTGTGTATGTAATGCATTGATAGTGTAATTGATGATGTACTGGAAATTGAAGCTAAAACAGGAAGTTGATGTTATTATTACCAGAATATATTTCTGCATTATTTGGTAACTGTACATGTGACTGAATTGAGAATGACAAGTTAGACAAGTTAGACAATATGACTTTTGATCTTGAGATATTTTCTTGGAAGATCTTGACAGATGGGTGACCTCCTGACCCCAATCAACATGTGACCTTGAGATGACCTTGATCTGGGACACATTTCAATTAAAGAACCGAAGATATCGTTAGACAACGTTAAAAATCTTTGTGGGCCAGCAGAAAATTCCAGCCATCGTTAATTTCAAACACTACACAGAAGACTGACATAGAGTTGATTGCATATTAACGGCACAATACATGTAATGAAAGTTAATTAACCTTATATCTTATATATAATTTCTATAATACTGTATTTGCAATACTAGTATTAGTGAACATATATAAGTATATATATATATATAAGTGAGTGCCTATAAACTAAACATCAAGATGGGAAGGCACAAAAGACCAAAAATAAAAACAGAGGACAGAAAATGTACTAAATGCAACCTACTTGAGGATGAAATTCATTACATCACAAAATGTAAACTTTACACAGATGAAAGAGAGTTGTTATATTCATATTTTTCTAAGAAAATTAACAATTTTCAACACTGTACAAAGAAAAATTCATTCATATATTGAATACAAACAACAAATATTTACTAACAGAGCTTATCAAATTTATAAAAACAGCAAATACCATTAGAGAAAACCACCTAATGGGTCATTAATATGTTTTACATTATTACATGTAACTGTATTGTAGTAGATTTTAGATATCTAACTTGTTATGTTTATTTTAACACCTTTATTACATTTTATAAACCAAAATAGATATGTATACAGTTGTAATAAAGAATTACCTTATCTTATCTTATCTTATCTTATCTTATCTTATTATCTTATCTTATCTTATCTTATCTTATCTTATCTTATCTTAGAAGTTGCACTTATATACTTAATTACTTATATACAACTTTTGACCACTTATATTCTTCTGTAATTTACGTAAATACTGGCCCCACTAATAGAGTAAATACAATGTATACAATACCTTGACAGAAATTAACTTGTCTTCTTCATCTAAATGATTGTCAGGACTGGTAGTGACATATGAGATACCGGTAAGTGGCGTCTTTTCTCGGCATATTGCACACTTTATATTGATTCTGTACTGTTTTATAAGAATGGACATACAATCATTGCAGAAACAATGACCACAGCACAGAACACACCACTGAAAATAAACAATTACCAGTTGTGTTAGTAGATAATGATAGTCTACACATAGTATAATGATGAATTAACTAATAAGTCATTTTGTCGTCTACTGGATAATTAATAATTTAATCTACAAGTTGTCTCATGGCTAATTCTACAAGTAGTACTAGTATACTGAATAATTAGCTAATAATTCATTCTATGAAGGCTAATTTGTATAATTAATTTTACAAGTGATATACTGCCTAATTAGGTACAAATTTATCCTACAAGTAGTATATTGGCTAATTAGTATAATTAATTTTACAAGTGATATACTGCCTAATTAGGTACAAATTTATCCTACAAGTAGTATATTGGCTAATTAGTATAATTAATTCTACAAGTGATATACTGCCTAATTAGGTAATAATTTATTCTACAAGTGGTATACTGGCTAATTAGGTAATAATTTATTCTACAACGTGTCTACTGGCCAATTAGCTAATAATTCATTCTATAAGTAGTATACTGGCTAATTAGCTAAGATTAAATCTACAAATGGTATACTGGCTAATTAGGTAATAACTTATCTTACAAGTGGCTAATTAGCTAATTTATTCTACAACTTGTCTACTGGCTAATTAGCTAATAATTCATTCAACAAGTGGTATACTGGCTAATTAGCTTACCTGGTCACCAAGCCGTCTGTCACATATAGGACAGGTGATGAACT